TTTAACAATTTCAATGTGCTATCATTTTCGAGACCTGCAATAAAATTACGATAGACCGATTTATAACTCGTTTCAGCTGGCAAAAGTGTAAGCGATTGAGTAATGCGATTGACATTCCTACCAGGACTTGGTAATCCATGGATTTCAGCATAATTTTCGAGAAAATTTTTTACAGACGTAGCAACAGTTATATCAATGGTTATTTTGGTTTTTCATCGCGGCACTCGTTTTATGTTACCATGAACACGCGGTATTATACCATTCGTCGCTAGGTGATTTCTAACGTTTTCGAAGTGCGTGCGACCAATTCCTAACATATTGAGATACGTTTTCTGACAAAGCAGCGTATTGCGATCTCAGTAGTAAAACGTTCGCTTATTAGTACGCGTTTTCTTTTTAAGACGTCGGCTGGTAGTTATCTCCCCACCGTTCATCGCTTTTAGCTGAGCCATTACAAATATATCTTGCTCAGATCTAGAGAGCTTGAAACGCTTCACGTAATTCGGCGAAATTTTCTCTCGAAATCTTTTTTGAACAACCACAATTGCAACCTGTTTCCAAGAAACGCATGGCATTTTCATATTCAGTGGAATTATTACATTCATTATTTTTCATATACGGTTAATCCTATATATACGTACTGTATATATATATATATTTCATTTACGATAGTAGTATTGGCAGCATATATACGCGATACTAACAATCTATTTACTATTTATTGAACTGATCGTCAATTGTATTAATAATTATGTCTACAATCAATTGCTTCACGATCAAATTTATTTTGTGATTATGCAAGTCTTCAGCAAATCGATGGAAAGCTCATTTCTATGTACGAATTTCATCCATTTCTCCAACAAGTCTAATATTATTTAGTTCTCAAATAATCCTACGTTTCAATCGTTCTAGCCATTGTAAGTCATGTTCTTTAAACATTGTTTTACTATCTTCAGCACCATCAGGCTATTGAATGTCCATATGATTCATAAAAGATGGATAAACATCGTTTCCGTGTTGTCCCACCCAATCGAAATCTATGAGAAAGGCTGTTTGCATCCTGCCAACAAGTATGTTCTTACTTCGTAAATCACCAAAGACATAATTATGATCATGGAGAAGCTGAATTGCTTTATCCACAGTCTCCATCACTTCTTTATAATCTTCCTGGGAAAGATTTGTCACTTTCAATTGCACTGCATCTTCTATATAGGTCATTATGACAACAATCCATGTAGGAATAATATTTCTTTCAACATGTAAAAGTTCTGGTGCATATCCACTGTGAGCACACAACTGATGAGCTGACTCGTTGTATTTGTGAGTAAACTTTATCACAATATCACATCCATCCAAAGTTTTTGCTTGGAAACTTGATTGTGATCCATCAAGATGGTCAGTGTAATTGGATTTGATTTCTCTTCCTTTGCTGTTGAATTTTCAATAAAATGGAAAAAGATGAGCTAAGCTCAGTTGTGATGGCACTCTAGATAATGTATCAAAATATCCACATAGCTCACAGCCAGCATCCCGAACAGCATACAAGATGTGAAAGATTTGCAAATATTCTTAGCTGAAACTCATTAAATTCTCACAACCTTGTATAAACCTTGAATGTATATTGTACTAATCTTGTTAAAAGCTTTTTCACAATGTTCTCACAACCTCGCTAAAATTAATTGTAGTGAGGTTGTTACAAGCTTAACAATGACACAAGGTTATATCAATCTTGTCAGCATCATTGATACTAATACCCATTTGAATTTTGGTAGATTATTTCTATAGCATGGTCTGCAACATGATATCCAATATCTGAATAATCCTCATGGAATTGTTGGAAAAGGCATTTTACATCTTTTTGGTAAACTTTGGATTAATAATGTCAAGCCTAGGTCTTAAAGGCGACGTATTCCTCAGTGATTTCTGCTCAATGATACAAACATTTCCGTCTGCGGCACATTGAATTTCTGCGGCTAATCGATCGGCAAAGTGGCACAGTAGTATTTAGTGATACAAAATCGGCATCGAAAATAGAATCTTAGATTAGTGTAACTTTGGCGTGTCAAATGTAACGATGCAGTGTCAAAAGTTGTGCTACTAGAGTGTGTCAAGTCGATCAGACCCCGTTATATCGA